AAGAGAAGAGAGGGAACGATCGGTGCCCTAAAGAGAGAAAAAAAACCTAGAGAAAAGAAGATCTAGATTTTCTGGCTCTTGATACCATGAAGGAATATTGATTGTATTGAAGTGTTAACCTAATAAGGGAATACATGGGAGATATATATAGGAGATATAGGAAGGAATACTAATCCTAATAGGACTAAGATTAAGGAGTACTAATCTTAATAGGACTAGAATTAGTACACAGTAAATACTAATATTATTTAATACTATTTATTTAATACTATCTGTTATTAAAAACAAACAAAAAAATATCAACTTTTTTAATAAAAAAAATTAATGTCGAGTAAATTAAATACATCAAAAAACTTATTAGGTGAGATATTTCAATTTTTTTACAACCTTTCTTGGATTATTAAAAAAACGCACGCATAATGTATTTAAGAAACTAAATTACAATACATTAATATACAATTCTTTGGTTGACAAAACACATTTTAAATTTGTAAAACATAAGAGTTTAAATATTCAATTTATTTTATTAAAAGAATTAGTATTTAATTTTGATTGATACGTGATAATGTAATGACCCAAAAGGTCATTTTGAAAATTTTGAATATTTATTTGACTTGAATTAATATGTTGATGAGTAATTGCACATAAATGACTTAATCAATAGTAAATGAGCTAAAGTGGTTATTTATTAAAGACTCTTTACCGCTAAATCCATATGTTTACATTCATATTCTATTCAAATAGAGCGAAACATCAAGGTGATTCTAAAAATAATCAAATGAATCAATTTTATTAGAATTTAAAGAATAATGAATTTTCAAACGAATTTAAACAATAAACAAATTTTTAAAGGAGTCACTAAAGGAAAAACTAGGAAATCAATATGTGAATTACGAAACCATTAGATTTTAGGCAAAGGTTTGAGTTATTTCGGAGGAAAGATATTAGGCACCCTTCGAAATCCACAAATGTGTGTCCCTGAATTCATTTTTTTTTTAAATTTAGGAGGAAATAAAAGTAACATACAAGTTCAATCAATATACAATGTACACACAAAAAAAATGTAATAATCGGCCTAATGTTTATCTAACGTCAATAATATACACAATACTGAATATAAAATACATTGAACTCCATTGGAATAGCTTTGATGAGAAGCAACTCTGGGGTACCTTAATAAAAGAGTTGGTGATAAATAAATACGAATAAAAAACAAATGAAATAAATAACTGAAAATAAAATCCTTCTCATTGACATGAAAGACCTTCAAAATCGACGGTAATTTCTTCATTAGCCAATTTAAATTAATAAAATATCTTCTCTTCCCCCCAACAACTTCACTCCGGAGGAATCGCATATTCTTAAGCGAGAAGATCAGCCAATGATAAATGAGATTAGTGCACAGCAATTGCAACATAACAGAGCATCACACTAATTTTCCTAATATAAACGCTAAACAATAAAAATATACGAGGACAAGGTAAATAATTTGCCGGAAGAATTTCACAAATATGTAGAATTAATCTAAACAACTTATAAATAGTAATTTATTAATAAAAGTGAAGCAATTAAGAGTAAATAAAACAAACATAGAATTTATAGTCATCATTGAACCCAAAACAACTAAATAAATAAATAACATGGCGTGACATCTAAAATGGCTAATCACTAAAAAAAACTAAAATATATCAGAGAATCATGGAAAGGTTAAAAAAATATGAAGAAGAGCTGCCTCAAACATGCATCTAACAATAAAATAATATGTAAAATCATTAGTCAATTTTTATGCTTTTTTAAAATCAATTAGGAACAAATGAAATATAAAACATATAAAACAACCAAAAAAAAAGGAAATAACGTCAATAATGAACAATGGCAACATCAACAAATATTTAAAAACAAGAAAAAACTATAGCTAAAAAATCGTCTGTAAAATAAATTATATTATATCCTAAATAAATTGAGTAATGAAAAACATGAACAAATATTTAAAAACAAGAAAAAATTATAGCTAAACATCGTCTGTAAAATAAATTATATTATATCCTAAATAAATTGAGTAATGACAAACGTTTGTACAATAACAACCACAAAAATAGAGTTACTTGGAAAAGTAACTTCCATAATTAAATATTTAGCCATCCAAAAAATAATAGAATTATAACTAAAGATCATTTAAAAAAATAGAGTTATAACTTAATCTAATTTTTTTAAAAAAATTATAACTAAAGCTTAACCAACAAAACATCTAATGGAGTTCACTGAATATGACATTCTTCCGGGCCAGAACTAAAATAATACTAACAAATAATAAACCATTTTGTAGCAAATAACAAGAAATAAAAGATAATCACAGTCTAAAATGCAAATCAATAGTACAAAAGAAAGAAGAAAGAAGAAACAAGGAAAACAAATCACCAAGCTTTGAACTATTTAGCCGTAAAACATTAAAAAGAGAAATGGGAAAGAGAGTACATACACTGATTATGGTGTCATGGTTGTTTAGATCTTTCTACTTGCTAGGTTTGCCAGAAACGTAAATTTGATTAGATCTGGTCGTCCTCACAGTGGTCACTGCTTGTTGTTTCTACGTCGGAAGAAAGTGGGGAATGGGGGTGTTGGGGCGAGACCTGGATGGTGTTTGGACGCTATTGTTGGCTGTTCAACTACTTCTTTGATGGTTGTTTAAGTTGTTGTTTCGTCGCAGCCACAAGAAAAGAGGAAAGAGGAAAAAGGACGGCTTGAGTGTTTTGGGTAGTTTGGTTAGCTGTTTGGGGTCGGGTATTTAATCGAAAATGGCGGAAATTGAAGTGGTTGTTATGGGTAGAGCAATGGTTGTTTGAGCTAGTTTCTACTCATCTTTGGCCAGTGGTTTTGGTTTTCAAAGAAAGAGAGGAGAAGATGGAAAAAAAAGGGTTGCTGGTTTATCTCTGGTGGCGGAAGACTAATCGAAAAAAGAAAAGAGATGGCATTGGGGTTTTGGGAGTGGTCGATGTTCACTGGTAGAAAACAATGAGGTTTTGGGTTGTTTTACAGAGAAGAGAAGAGGGTTTTGAGTGGTGGTAGTTCGCCGGATTCCGACATACTCATCGAAAAAAATTAAAATCTGAAAATTTACCCTAAAATCTAATACGGAAAAAGATCAAAATTACCCTTTAACAATTTGAAATAGAGCACATATACCCTTCAACTATCTTTTGGTTCAAAATTACCCTTCATATCTTACAATGGGATCACTTCTATCCTTTCATTTAACGGAATAAGATGTGATTTTCAAAGTTTTAATTATGATGTCACGTAGAAGTCCAACTAATCACACCCATCCTACCCAAATGATTCAATCTTCGCCCTTAACTTCCACCATGAACTCTATAAAACTCCGTATTATCAATAATAACGCTGCTAATAGATAAATTTTCATAGATGAAATTAACAATTAGAGGCTTGTTCTGAGTAATGATCTGCAAAATCATAAACCTCTAGCATTTCTAGCAAGACTCCTAAATCGGCATCATCGGAAAACAATATGGTGAGGGTAATCATAAAAGAAATCATCAGGTTGTGAGAATAAAGCTATATCTGAAGGCGATAGAAACGAAAATAGAAGCAAAACTTTACATCTCTGATCGTTTGATGTTTCACACAGTAACAACAATAGTGAAATCGTCGTCTTTTCAATGCTCTGATTGTGTGATCAAGAAGAGATTTTTGGTCCAATACATCATCGATTCCATGAACAATGAGATCCTGATTTTAACAAACCCAATTGAATTCTTTGTCCAAGAAATCGATATATTTCTAGTAGAACTTTTGAAGAAGAAAAGAAAATTTTTATTGAACAAAGTTGGGCTAATCTCAAAGCCATTGACATTGGATAAAAGGCTGAACCAAGTGAGAGGGGTTTTCGGACTCTCTCTCTCTCTCTGTGTGCGCGCGCGCCATCATCATATCATATATTTATATAAAAGAGAACCTTACGCCCGCCTATGTGGCGCCACTATAAACCAGGATTCACTTTTTACTTAATTATTTTCAAAATTAGTCTTTCTTTCATGAAAAATTTTCACTTTCATGAAAAGTTGTGAGTTTTAATGAAAATTTCCGACTGATATGAAGAGTTGCAAATTTTATGAAGAGTTGTGACTTTTATGAAGAGTTGCAAATTTTATGAAGAGTTGCGACTTATATGAAGGGTTGCAACTTTAGTAAAAAATTATTACTTTTATGAAAGATTATGACTTGTCCAAAGAGTTGTGACCTCTCCGATAAGACAAAGTAAACATTCATTTAAGCTACCCTTTGTAGTCTATAAATAGAGGGATTTCCTCTAATTTTATAATAACGAAAATACATGTCCTTTACTCTTGTTGAGTGACTCACTGACACCATTGTTTTTCTATCAACACACTGGTAAATAGAATCGTCCTGTCCTGAGAAGATATATTCCTTTAATCTTCGGGTACTAGAATGAAAAAATTTCCTTAAGGGGACAATGTCCAATAAGTGGGCTCGATTTTTTCCTTTATGTTTCATTTATTATTACAGATCCTGTTATGCTTTTTAAAATAATAAATTTATGCTTTAATTATTACTTTTTGTTTTTGAGTACATGTTTTAAATATTTTTGCTTATGTTTATTCTTTTTATCATTGTTTTGAACTAAAAATATTTTAATCAAGAGTTTGATGTAATTATTAGACTATTCGTGTCGTTTATATCAAAATTCTTAAAGTACAAAAATAAATGAGTTCTATTTTTATAGAGTTTTAGTGGCTAAAAGATCCATTGGATGTATAAGAAGGGACTTTGAGTGTTCAAAAGATATGGTGATTCCACACTACCTTGGTGTTTTATTTATTCAATATTCTATCTTATTGAGTCATTTAACCGATCAGTGAGATCAAAAAAATAAAGGAATGTAGTGGGACGTTAAGTATTGTACTCCACCTTAATCAAATGTTTGTTGTTTAAATGTTGGGTTGGAGTCAATGAATTACCCCTCAAAGTTGAGCAAATCTATATTAATCAAATGTTAAAGTAACAATTATTTTCTTATAAATTGTAGATTGAAATTCCTCCACATAATTAAGTATTAACTATATTGATCGAATCATAAACAACAAAATATTCCTTTTGGCTACAAAAGTAGCGTCATCGAGTGCATACGATTTGGAATAAGGGGCATGAAAAGACATCATTTAATATAAATTATTTGAGCGACATACGTTATTTAATTGAACTTCAAGGGATGCATTTTTCAATTTTAATTAACTTATCAAGTACACAACTAATTACAAAAAATAATTCCATATTTTTATGATAAAATATTCTTAAAAATTATCGTAGGTTGTACCTTCTCGAAAAAATTTATATGATTACATGTTCAAAGGTATATTATTGATGTAGTTAACCACCACACGAAGCGCGGAAAATTTACCTACTATATATATTTAAGAGAACCCTATGTCGCCTACGTGGTGCCACTACAAACCAACATTTTCTTTAAATTTATTTTATTTTCAACACTAGCCTTTCTTTTTCATGAAAGTTATGACTTTTATGAAAATTTATAAATTGCCATGAAAAGTTATGACTATATGAAGAGTTGCAACTTTTATGAAATGTTGTGACCTTTCTGGAGGCTTGTAACTTTTCAAAAAGGTTGTGACTTTTCCGATAAGAAACAATAACCCTATTTTTACACTACTCTTTGTTGTCTATAAATAGAGGACTATACTTTGCATTCCGTGGGCTCGACTTTTTTCATTCTGTTTCATTCTATTGTTGCATATTCTAGTATATTTTTTACAATCATTAGTTTATGCTTATATTATTAGTTGTTGTTTTTTGAATATATGCTTTAAAATTTGATGTTTATATTTATGTAAAGTTATTGTTACTTGTATTTGTTAGTTAGATTAAATAACAAATGTTAACAGAATATTCAAGAAAGTTTTCGCGTCTGAAATTATTGAAGGTACCTTAAAAATACCTTACAATTCTCAAAATTCTTCATCAACAACGTTATTCCTTCACAAACAAGGATGTGATTTTGTGTTATTCAGAAAATCATCTGAGAGTTAATAACTATGCATTTGCATATTTTTTTGTTTTTATGTGGATATTATGAGTACTTTAATGATTGAAAGTTTATTGAAGTGTTAGTCAATGTGTGGAGGTATCTTATTTCAAAATGTAGGAATTTTTTTGGTTAGAATGATTTGTTATCATCATTGGATATATCATAGTTTACTCCCTTTATTGTATGTTTTTTCTCGCTCTTTTGTTGTCTCCTTACAATTGAATTGATTATATTTTGTTTGACATGTATATAATGCCACTATGACAAAGATCTCCGTCCTTTTAATGTTTATTTTCATTTCTTATTCAATCTTCTATATATTTTTGACGTAAGATGTGACTATTTTAGTCAATCTTAATTTGAAAAATATGAAACAAAACCTACAAATAAAAGTAATATTTTAAGATAAAGAAGATAAGTGTATTAACATAGATTCGTTATCCTTCATTATTCAAGTCATTGTTGAGCGTTCAAATTACCTAAGTTAGACTCATTTTTAATTTTTAATGTTTGAGAATGTTTCTTCAACATGATTACAAAATAAAACATTTTAATCTCTGTATACTTTCATAATGAAACAATCATACATAAATATTCCTAAAAAGTCATAAAGTTACATTGATGAAGAATTCAGAATGGTCTTTTGCAGTTTAATGAAGAATGAATTTCTATAAGGGTTAACCATCTTATTTTGTTGTTGTTTCAAATATATTTTTCTCCTTCTATAAGTTTGTTTAGAATAACAAAGTAATAATAACGAAAAGTGAGAAACATTTGACTTCAAACAAATAGATTGTCTCTAAAAAATATTTTTTCTGTTGTTGCAGTGTGTACTTTTTAACGGACATAAATTATATATAACTATATGATTATCAAAAACTTTCACAAAAGTTTTTTAACACAAGGATTTATGATAACCATAAAACTATTAGATTCTATATATCATGTATAAAAAAATTTAATGGCTATATAAAAACATGACTCAATTTTAACAAGAAAATTATATCATCAAACATATAATATGATAAATCATGTAAAAGATAAAAAATAATTAAATATCAAGATATTTTTAATCATTAATTGTATATTAATAATTTTTGAGATATGAGATAACGTCAAATCATGTAATTTGTCTATAAATTTTCTAAAAACCTATAAAAAATTACTTTTTTTCTTATAATAGTCGATCATTGGTAAAGTTGTTCACAAGGTTAGAAAGAATTCTTATGTCCGCAGGTAGACTACCTAGTTGAAGAATAAAGGAAAAAATTACAAAGAATATGACTAATAAATTTAAACAAAGACAAATTGAGAAAAGAGAATAGTAAAAAATAAAAAGGATAAAGCTTCACATTGTACCAATGAAGCCTTTTCATTTGTATTGGAATCTGGGCCCAAAAATTCTAACCCTTTTAAATGTAAAAAAAAAGGTGAAAAAAATATGCACACAGTGAGAATCAAACTCGGCCATTCCTGGCAGAACTTGAACACCTTATTCATTACGTGATCCTTCTCTTTAATATTTAAGGGTTCATTTTGATTAATATACTCATAAAACCCGAAATTAACCTTACATATACAGTTTAATTTTTCGACGTATGGGGTTCGAGTGAACCCCCTAGATTGCATATGTATCCACCCCTGGGTGCGGGATATGGGAAGAGACATAATTCACATGGATTCAACTCATAACTTTGTAAAATAGAGTAGACAAATCAGACCACATGAAATCTGTGTTGTTGTACAAGGAAATTGTTGGTGTAACCAGCTAAAGAAAAAACATAAAATAAAAGAAGAAAAGAGAGACATAATATGAAGTTGAAAGAATAAATGTTTAAATAGAAGGAAATCCTAACATTTTGTAGTACATAATTCATTAACTGGTAAAAAAACTAGGCACTAAGTCTAAAAACAACTCAACATGCCTAAAGACTAGGAAACTAAAAACTAATAAACTAAAACTGAAACATTTATATTTAGAAAATAGAAAACAGATCATCATCCATGTCATCATGCCAACTCAACATCCATTAATAACTTAAGAGGTAGATTTCAACACTTTGATGCAAAGCCGCAAATTCCATGTCCCTTTCCGAAGAACTCAAATTCGCTTGCCGGAAGAGTTTTTGTAAAAATATCAGTCAGCTGCTCTTTCTGTCACGACCCAAAACGAGCCGCGAGAGGCACCCACACTTATCCTACTATGTGAGCGAACCAACCAATCTAAATCTCAACATTTCAACCATAATAAACAGAATATAATGCGGAAGAATTAAAACTCATTAATGAACATCGATTATATAACTTCTAAAACTCAATACTTATTATTCCCAAAATCAGGAAGTCATCATCACAAGAACATTCTATCCTCAAATTACTAAATCTAAGAGTATCTAGGAAGCTAAAATAAGTAAACAGATGGTCCATGTCCGAACTTCAAGGACATCAAGACATAAATGAGAGAGAATCCAGTCCGAGCTAGGAACCATAGCTCACCAAGAAATCTGGCGCGATGAAGACTTGCTAGAGTTGAGGATGAGTTGAAGACGATGGCACATTTGCTGCACTCCACAAATAACAAAGAAGAAAATTACAAGTAGGGGTTTGTACAAGGCACAAGTACTAAGTAGGTATCATCGGCCAACTCAAAATAGAAAGCAATATATATCAGATAATAACA